TGTCTCAACTTTCTGGTGCACATTCTCATGGCCACAGCAATATCAAATTGAACTGGTGGTCCAATCCATTGGCTTAGCCAGATAAACTTAGACAGCAGTGAGAAAAGTTTCATGAAAGGGAACCAACCGAGTTGACCGTAAAGTTACATTTGATATATGTACTATTTGTCTATTTCCCGACAAGGCACAACACAAACATACAAGTTTATTTTACAACTAGCTTCCAAAAACTTGTAAGATTATATTTAATTCAATCAAACTTGTAAAATTATATTAACCAGAAACTTTAGTGCATGCTCAAAGAGAATTATAGAAACAAATAACCCACAGAGAGAGGTAGGAAGCATTAAACAAGAACAGATATGTATGATTCTTACATTTGCACTAGAAGATGCAGAAGCCTCCCGCTCAATACTTCCAGCCCCATGGATCTCCTTGTGCAACTCTGGTACCTTTAAAAACAAGAAAAATAGAGATTAAACAACGGTTACATAGAACCTCAATACCTCATTAATCAATCAAATAACCAGAAGACCCAAAAAAAGGCCAACTAAATTCATAGGCAATTTACATTTTACAGCAGATAATGTCAAATAATATATTATTTATTTTATTATACATGGTCATCTTAAGAAAGTCAAAGTTTGCAGCATCAGGCATAGCCCTTCCTCAAACCATGATTCCCCTCTAGTTCTTTTCTAAGAAAGAAAACACATCCACTAGACATTAACTGTCGCTTGCAATACCTCTGTCCAATAACAAATCATATGACTGGATTATGCTTTGACCTTAACCTGACAGTAAATTGAAACAAATTGCATCTATAAAATAAATTGTATGACTAACTTACCAGATCAAGTAAACTGTAAAGCTTTACCCAAAAATTAAAAAGGACAATTAATTTAATGGCTAATTAGAGAATATGTTTCTGAGCTTCCATTCAATCCAACAGTTAATTATACATTGGTAAACAATATCCAATATTCTCATAATTTTGTTTTTTGTCTCTCTATTCTCTTTCCATTGTACCTAAAGTCAAATATCCAAAGTTTAGTTTAAAAAATAGCAACCATGTCTTACCTTGGAAGTGAGTTCTAAAGACTTGCCATAGAGCTCATTGCCTGGATCCTACAAAACGAAATTCCACAATCAATTTCTAGCAAATTCAAACATGATGGACCTGAGAATTTGACATATTGACAATTAAAGATCTTACCTCATTTGCTGCTCTTTGGAAATATTCAGTTGCTTTATCAAAATAAACCTCTGCCTCAGTGTAATCAGGTGTCAAAAATGCATAAGAGGTGTTCGCATTCCCTAGTGACCATAAGGCTTCATGCTTCAAGGGATTGATCGCCAAAGCCTCCTCCAACTTTGAGATACCATCTACATTGTCAATAGCCACTCCATTAACATAAAGTAATAAATAGTTAAATACATAAAAATAAAAAAAAAAGGTGCAAATTAAGTAAACATAGGATACCTTTCATCATATTCCTGGCATCTCCAGGATTCTGAAATTGAGATAATTCAACCAATACTCCTCCCCATTTGGTTAGATTCTGCAAAAATATTTTTTAAGATGCAGAGCATTTAATCAATAACCAATGAAAAATGTGGAAATTTTAAGATGAATTATTCGTCCAAACTAATTACAGATGCCAACAAAATCAGATTAAAATAAATTAGCAATTAATCAAATAGAACAACCATTTATCCACTTAAGCAATCTGGAAAAGTAAAATCCAATAACCATGAATTGTTCCAAAAAGAATCTAAGTTACAATGAATGCAATATGAATAAATGATATCCAACTACAGAAGTTGGGAATAAATCCCAAAACATTACGCAAAACAAGAACAAGAACTGGGAAGTTCAATATCAACATTGATGCGAAAGAAGAAGCATAAAATGGAAGCTATCAATCAAATCGCATAAATGTTTATGACGAGCGTAAAATTGTGAAGGGTAAAAATACGAACATCAGTGTCGAGAGGATCCCTTGCGTAGTTCTCTTCAGCAATTTTGCGAGTGTGCTCAAGCATAATAAGGGTTTCGAAATTGGGTTCCATTTTTTCTGCTTTCGATTTCGGGCGTTAGGGTTTTACGTTCCGAGGGAGAAAGCGGCAGCGGTTGTGAAATACACTATTGTTATTATTATTATTATTTTTCTTTGGTCAGATGAGTAAAAGACTGTCGTGGTCTTCAAGAAATTGGGTCTTTTACGCTGCTTGAGGAAAAAAAAAAAGGTACTCCAAATTTTTCTCACTATACAATTAAGAGCATGATCTTTTGTATTTTGACAATCAAGAGCATCAATTTTTGGGTTTTTGCATCTTTTGTCCTTGGAGTATAGTTTTAAGAGTGTTTTAATTATATCTTTTCTTATTAATTGTTAGGTGTTATGAAAAAAAAAATTTTAATTTTATCAACTATTTAATTAAAATTATGTAAATATCATTTATGTTAAAAATAAATTTAATTTTTATATTTTTTTATACATGTTAATGAGAAAAATATATAATTAATGCATCATTAACCATATTCTTAGACACGCTTTTTTCAAGGTAAACAAAGGAACTATACACATGATTTTTTAGATGAAATTTTTTATGTAGTTTGATTGTAAAGAGGAATAACATTATATTCTTGTTCTTTGATTGAAAGGTTTTGTTCATTTCTAATTCATAATTACTTATGAAATGTTAATGAGTTCATGAAAAGTGAAGAAGTAAGACAGTTTACATCCGCAACTCAACCATGTAATCAAAAGAACCCAACAATAGTAACCTTGATAAAAAGTAAGGTGCCTTTTTCATTGTTTCTTTCTTATTATATTTGTCAAATCCCTTTTAATTTAGAGATTTCGAGAAAAGGGTTCATTTTTTATTATTTTTCCTTTTAAGAAAATTCATGTCAACATAATCTTAGCAAGGCCTAACAATGCAAGAACAGTTTTATCAAACTTGCGCTTATTTGTCAACATTATATAGATGGTGTCCTCATGCCACTAATAGAAAATAATACCCTCAATTGCATAATGAAAAGTTGAAATCCTATTTGATACTTTTACCCTCAAAAAAAAGAAAAAGTATTTTGCCTTTTTTAACAATTACACTAATTCCGTCCTTATTCACCTCACATGCACCTCTCCTTTCAGATTACCATAAAACTACAAGTGTTCTGGACATCATTTCACCTTTTTCTCTTATTTATAATCAAAGATTATAATCATTAATTTTAATTTTAAATTTTTTATTCGTATGGTAGATGGGACTAATGGAAGAAATGATCTTAACAAAATAAAATTTAAGAGGTAGAAAACTTTAGGGATGATGCAGTGCAAGAGAAATAATGTGGAAGAATTCAACTCGTTCCCAATTTTCGTCAAATTCTTCTCTTTTTTTTTTTTGCCACAGAGGTCATTGATAATTAATGGAATAAGAAGATTGCTTTTTTGGTGTGAGTTATGCAGAATTACTCTCCTCTCAGGCACTTACATAACCATCTTAATTTTAAACTTGAGACCTTTAACATAACGTCTTCGGAGACTTCTTATTAGTAAATGGGCAATCAAGTTTTATAAAGTGCATTGTAACGAGGGGAAAACCCACTAGCTTGCTATGCAGAACCATTTCAGAGATATGGGTAGTGAAATAAGGGGTCAAGTCAAATGGCCTAAGATGGAAAGACTGAAAAGAGCACTACAGATTATTAGTGAAAGTATTACAATACATGTCAAGATCATTTGGAGGACAAAAAACTAGGGACATGTCCATTCCCTGTAAGATTATCAATGCCGAGACAGTTTCAGAGTTGCATTTTTAAGTGCAATATCTGATCCCAAAACAAAGCTAATATCTTCAGTCCAATGCATCAACGCATCAACGTGAATACAGTCCAAAACTCCAAATACACCTACATGCCAGGATGCAGAGTTGAGATGCACCATTTGACAGGAAAGTAGGACTATTCCTGGTTTTTGAACTGCCAACTTGAACAATATCAAACAGCATTTGATGCAATAAAAGATCTGATCTGTTGCAACAGCTCAGCCTTCACATTATCAGGGACGGATTCTGCACATGGTCAAGCAATGGAAGCAGTAAAATCTCAAGACTGATGAATGTCGATAAAGTTAACAGAGTAGGCAAATTTGACAGCAGACGAGAAGTTGCGTGGCAGATTTTTTTTTTTTCAGTGCATATGAAGACATTAACTTGCAACATGTAAAAGAACAATAAAACAAATTGCCAATAGCCCTACAAAACAAATTGAGAGACTGGAGTTCAATTCATTGGCGGCCTTGAATGTGCAAGAACTAGTTTATAAAATAATATATTGTTGCTCATTTTAATACATACACAACATAACCATTGTGAATTGAGATGGCCTTACACAATCGAAGTGAAATTTGAAAAAGATTGAGCTAGACAGGATACCAAACAAGACATAAACAACAAAACTGAAGTCTTTTGTTTGGCATGAATCTCAAACTAACCCTAACATTATAAAATGTGAATGTTAATGTGAATTAAAAAGTCAACAAAATTTTGTTACGTATGAATCTTTAAAGTTCATGCTTTCTACTCCTAGGTTATAAATGAAGTTGAATACTGAACCTAGTTATCCTTTCACTAATACTCTAACAGCTTATGCTATCTGAACTTAATATTTTCCACATTCTTGATTCTATTACAGTAAAAACCGCAGCTATAAGCTCAGTTTACAAGAATAGTTGCAATAGTTTCTTCCAAATTCCAACTGAATTGTCTGTCTGCAACCCCAGCTATGCATTCACGCGCTAAGCTAGCCCCCAGAATCACCACCCACCACCCAAAACAACAACCATAAAGAGGCTAGGATTTCCCAAACGGAATCAAAACTCCCAACATTAAATGTTAATGCCAAGAATAATATAAGCACAATTGATTGCAGAGAAAAAGCTTATTTTCTCGTTTTCTTTTGCATGGTTAGGAAGGAAAAGTTGGGGATAAACTGACCTCTGCCTCTTGGAGTAATTACTTTGATCAGATCATCCAGTCTTACACTGCTTGTTACTTTATCCCTCACAAATGCCCTTAAAGCAAATAATATAAAACCTATGTCACTCAGCTATTCAAAAGATCCAGCACAAACAAACCCAATTAGCAGCTAGCCAAAACAATACAATCAGCAAAATATCACCAGTGACCCTGACAATCAAATTAAAAGCCTTTTTTTTTTTGGTAACTAGGTCATTTAAAGCATAAAAATCCGATTTGAACTTCAAAATCAAGACGGACACAAAAACACAGAAACAACAAAGCTCTAATCTCATGCAGACTTTCTTGCCCAAGATAAACCCAAGAATTTATAAACCCAGAATATTTTTATATCCGGATTTAATAAAACCAGAATCATGGCATAAACCATAAATTTATAGACCCTAAATTTTCAAATCCAAAATCTCGAAGCAGCACATGGATTTCTAAACACCCAAGTTCCGATCTTATGCAACCTTTATTGCCCAAGATAAAACCCAAAATATCAAGATATAAACTATGAATTTATATTTATAATCATCAAATTTTCATAGCCAAAATATCAAAGCAACACATGAATTTCTAGGCAACACATGCGTTTCAAAATTGTCGATTAAACAAAAGAAGAAGAAGAAGAAGAAGATAACCCAGTAGCAAACATGATTAGAAAAAAAAACCTGCAAAGAGCTCTCATTTCATTCTCCCACCCGCTTTCTGCAAGGCGTTCCCTTAAAAGCTCCTTCAGTCTCTCTCTTTCTCCGCTCTTGATCAACTGCACATGCATACCCGATGTGATTAAGACGAAAATTACACTCCAAATCGGAGTGAAAATTCTAAGTACAAAAGAGCGGCACCAAAACTTAGCAACGGCCCGCGTAATTCTATCCATTCCGATGAGAAAACGAAAAGAAGAAGAAGAAAACCTTGGTGTGGATGGTTTCTTGAAGATCTTGAGGATCCATTTGCTCTGAATCTATTGTTGGCGACGGATGATCGAACAGAATCCTTTTGGCGCTCGAAAGAGATGATGTGAGTGTACGTATGTGGTTAGACAGAATATACAGGAAAAATTCAGGTTGTTGGGTTGGGTGATCGGCATTTGACAGTTGACAAGGGAGACATTTCCTCGCCGAGAATCGGGACTGAAATTTGTAACTACCGGCGTGCTGCTGCTAGAGAAGTGGCGCGATTGCTCAGCGGGAGAGTGAATGGAAATCTCCGGGCTCCAGCCATTCAACGTTTGAGGCGAGAGGTGCGGAGAGATTTTTCTTCACCGGTTTCCTGTTGTTAGACGATAATACCCTTCCTTTCTTTTCTTTTCCGCAAAAATATATTTTATAATTTAAATTATAATGAACTATAAAAATTAAATCGTTGAATGAAGAGTAGCCTCCGTTATTAACAGCCCTTCTCCCAACAGTTCCTGCCGGTCTGCAAAACAATTTACTATTTTTTATTTTTTAAAATTAAAAACTATTTTATAAAGTGAATTGTATAAAATTATTTAAATATTTTTAAATAAATAATATATAAATAAAATTAAAAATATTTAAATAATTTTTAAAAGTGAATTACATATAATTTATCATGTAAAATAATTTTTTTAAAGGTTCTTATAAAAGAATATTTTTTATTTTTTATTAATTATATATTAATTTATATAAAAAATAAAAAATTAATATTATTCTTAATATTTATGATGCATGAATATTTTTATTAAATAATTAATAAAATTAATATTAATTCTTGATTTTATTATATATTAATAATAAATAATATAATAAATATATTTTTCCCCTATATTCTTGAAAGCACAGAATAAAAACTTCTTTTTTAAAACAAAAGAGAATACCGAAGGTACTGAAGTCCGCCGCACCTTCCTTTCAATCATTAATGGAGTAATGGATTTCTAATATAATGGGGTCCTGCCCCTTAATCGGTGGTCAATCCGTGTAATGTAGGCCACACTTTAATTTTCTAAAACAAAAATAAATTCTTTTTCTATAAAATAAATTTACTAAAAATGACAATTCGAAATAAATTTAATTGTAGAGAGAGGAGAAACCTCTATTTAATTATTAAAAAAATTAAACGAGAGAATCCCTTTATTTAATGTTTTATATTTTCACTTATTCAAGTAAGTGGAGAGAAGGGAAATGGTCCTTAAACTAAATTTATCTTAAATTTATTTTGTTTTTAGTTAATTAAACTAAACTTAGTTACTAAGATTTTATTTGATTTAATTGTTAGAAATAATAGACAACTATAATTATTAATTAATAAAGCAACTTATATCTATTATATATTGCTCAATATCAACTTATAAATTGATATTTTAAACATTTTGTACAATAAGAGTTCACTTTTATTGTCATCTTCAAAAATAAAATGGAAACAAAAATAAATTGGAAACAAAGCTTTAGTCTCATTAGAGCATTTTCAAGACGAGCACCGAGACTAGCTCTCTTTATTTTCTTTTTGTTTTTTTCCCAACTACTTGCATGCCTAACATGTGCTGAAAGCAAATTGAAATAGTCAAAGCATTGTAAGAATTTTGCACTAATTTTAGCTTCTTCTTTTTTTTTTATTTTTTGGCAAAATTAAGTTTTTAACAGCATACTCCTATATCAACAATATACATTCAAAAAATTTAACCTCCTTATATGCTTAGCTCAAAATTTGAACCATTAATTTTAGCTTATAGATATTGACTTCTTAACTTTACAAAAATCTATATTTTTCTCATATTGGCATGAGAGATTTTATCTGGTTCCATCGTAAAATAATATGCTCACATTTTTTATTGAAAATTTATCTTAAAATTAATTGTCTTTTGTTCATTTTTTTAAGATAAATATTTTTTTATTTTAATCTATCATTACCATAATTTTTTTTTATTTTTAAAGGTATTATAAATGAAAATATAAATTATCTGTAAATTGCTAATATATATAAAAAGGTAATCTATCCAAAAAAGAAAAAGAAAAAGAAAAAGAGGGAAACTAAACAACAGTTTAGAATTTGGGTGATGGTTCAAATCTCTGTAATAATTTGGAAAAATTTTTGTAAATTAAAAAGGAAATGAAAATATAGCAAAATTTTCATTATCAAGGATTTTGGCGCGAAAAGAGAACGTTGTTTGGCGCGCAATTTTTATGTGTACAAGAGTACCCCCCACATCCACGGAACCTACAAGCTGCCTTCAATTACATTTTAATTATCTTCGAGAATTTCCCTTTTCATCTAAAAAAAAAAATCGAATCCCCGCCAATTCATAACCCTAACCTCTCCTTTCGCCCTTTCCCTCTCCCTTTCCCAATTGCTCGAGCTTGTCAATGGCCGGAGAGGAGGAGATCGCCGACACGATCAAACCAGAGTTCCCGACGGGACGGATCAAGAGGATTATGAAACTCGACAAGGACATCAACAAGGTCACATCAGAGGCACTATTCTTGGTGTCTTGCTCTACTGAGCTTTTCCTCCAATTCCTCGCCGAGAGATCTGCAGAAGTCGCTATGGAGAAGAAGCGAAAGACGGTGAAGCTCGATTTCATTAGAACTGCCGTTAAAAGACACCGACCGACGAGTGATTTCCTTCTGGACTCGCTTCCCGCGCCTACCGAATCAAGTCTGCCCATAGATCGTCCGCGTAGTCGAGCCGTTGAAGACAAACCTGCTCCGCCTGGAACTCGCCGCATAGATCAGTTCTTTCGCAAGCCGGAGAACGAAGCTCCGATTGAGATAAACGACTCTTAACTCTTACTGATGTGTCTGTTTTTGGTAAACGTGAACGTAGGCCTTCTGGACTAATATTAGCACTTGAATTTATTTTATGGAAGGAAATTTGATCAGATTTGTAATTATTTCTATCTTACATTTTACCGTGAAAGAGGTTTTGTGTTTCCATGTTCTTCATGATATTCCCCTTTTCAAATTCAGATATTATGGCTTTTGACTGCAATAGATAGTCATAATACCTTAGTGTTGCCACCAATAACTCTTTGTTGACTAGAAATTTCTCTACCATCAGTTTTGGGCGGTGAATGGAATGATTCTTCATTTCCTTTTGATACATTTGGTCCTTCAGTTACTGGCATGATGCTAGAATTGCACTTGCATTACATGTTAACAATTGGCGAATTTATTATATCGAAAATTAATTATTCTATTCATAAGTAGATTTCTAGCATGTTTGCTAATGGAGTTAGTTTTGTAAATTACATAGATTTGGTGGGATCTTTTTCTATATACACCCAATAGAATTTACCTGCTTGCTGCCAAGAGTTAAGATAGTGTATGATAGTTTGTTACTGTCAACTCAAAAATGGGGCAATGAGATAGCATTCACTGTTTGAGGTCACCCATTGTGCTCTAATAATGAACCTTATGCACATCTGTTAGTGAAAGCAATTTGGGCATAAACGTGGCTTATTGTTCTATTAAGAGTTTTGAAGTAAAGCTAAGTTAAAATACATCTGCAGTTGCAAGAAGAAATCAGGATACTAGAGATTTTATTTTTTGAAGTAAAGCTAGCTAAATTACATACATCTGCAGTTGCAATATGAAATCAGGATCCTAGAAATTTAATTTGTCCATGCAATCACAGTTACTGCAATATCCTAGATGGAGTCTATAGTGGAAAGCTTCAATGGATAAATACATGTGTAAGTCTTTTTGTCAAGCTGAAACCAATTCAACTTATTTTTACAGGTCATATTTATGGGAATATATGTTCCTTTTCAAGAGTAAGATTGTCTGTTTGAATCTGATTTATCACGTGTCCTTGATTTTGATTTGAAATTTAAGGAGAAAAGGGTCCTGAAAATGTTGAAATCACTGAAGCACTTTCATCTTTTAGATGAGAAGCTAGACTGGGTCGAACAAACACCTTTTTCCCTTGCACTTTCTTTACTTCTTTTATGAAGGATATGCCCTGAGTTGCAGAGTTTATGCTGTCAGAACCCAACTGTGGGATTCCCAGAGAAACCCTCCTGTTTGGAGAAGTTGCATTGCCAAAGCCTCCATTCAAGCTCCTATTTGGAAGACGCCTATTGCTGGTGGGTGGTCTCGACCCAAAGAAATTTTCTTGCTCAACAACCACCTGACTTTGTATCTTCTTCTTTTCCTAAGGGAGAATGCAGATAATCAGAAGGTATGGAAAGATAAATGGTGATCAGCAATGGAAACTTTTATTTTAGTTTATGTATGCTTCTCTTGGTAAACTTTACATTAGAAACTGAGGCAAGGAAAATTAGAAAAGATTGCTTTATTCAAATTTCTATAATAAATACATTTTCTTTGAAGTTGAGAGCAAAATAACACTAACCCGATGCTTTTGCTTGTCCTCATCCTTTTCCCGCCTTACCATGTTATACTCTTCCACTATTGCTAAAAGAGGTACCTAGATAACCCAATATGTTATTTTTAGTGTGGTAGCATGCTTGGCAAACTAAATAATGTCAGACACTTTATATGAAAAAACATAAAAATAAAAATAATTTGTGATTAGACAGTTTCTGCATTGTTGGGTTTCAACTTTTTAACTCCAGATTATACAGTTCCATGACTTGATATTTCCCTAATGAACCTATCTTATGTGGTATCATCATTTTCATGGTACTTAAAAAAGCTAAGTACTCTCACATAAATATCTAATGAAAGGGAAACATTACTTTCAGTTTGAAATTATTGCATAAGACATGAAATTCAGGACAACTGGTTATTTTGCATTATGCAAACTTGATTTGATGACAAATTCATGTGTTATTTTGTAGTTCAAGCTCATGAAGGAAACTGACAGAATTGTGGTTCTTACCTTTTCCAGAACCTGAAATGGATCATAGAAACAAAGTCATCTATGGAGGAATCAATTGTTCCAATATTGAAGTTTGCTATTTATAAGGTCAGGATAGAGAAGTTCCGAGGTAAAATTTAATTATTCATATTTTACTATAAACCAGAAAGTGTGTAAAAACACGTAGATTTTAGAAGAGTCCTGAGCAAGGGGGGGTCTGATAGCTGGTTGAAACATCAAAGAAATTAGTTGCCAAAATTCTTGATAGTATATTTGATTGATATTACTTTTTTCATACTATTTTTGAACTCCTTTCTTGTTTTCTAAGTTACGTTGAAGTGTTGAACGCGTTGCCTTTTCCATTTCTGAATCACAACATCAATAATTTGTTTTATCCATATATAATCACAGGCAATAGATGATCTTACCTCATCATATAGGAAAACTTTCTTTCTTTCTTCTTCCCAACTCTTGGTCTTTGCTATAAGTGAATCCACCAATGCTGCATGGAATATTTTATAAAAGCATAAATATGGCCTAAGATATGTTTGCTTTAATAGTTACAAAATAAATAAATAAATAAAAAGTTTCCCGGGTAGAATGTTTAAGGCTTCTCATCATCTAATTAATATATCCTGTGTTCGATATTTCGTTTCACAAGTTTTGTTTACAAAGATTTAAGTTACAGTAGTATCTGTCTATTTTTAATTATGCTCTACTAAACTGTTTCTCTATTTTAACAAAACTATGTCACTAGAAAATGTACTTTGACAAGTCCTCCTTCATATCAGGGCAAATATCTGTTTTACCTGGGATTTTGTTGACTGTTACTCGTGCCCGTTCTGCCCGTCTTAGGTTTTTATGTGCACCTCTTCTGACTGTATATCGGTTCTCATCCTGAAAATATAAATGAAATGGAGACGCTAAGATAGTGAGCCAAGCTATATCGATGATCAATTATTGTGAGAATATTAACCCTGTTATATTCTTCCAGCCAGCGCTCCTCATCACGTGCCAACATCCACTTCTCCACCTTCTCGATTATTGGTTCCCTGCTAGATGCTTCTTCCTTTGCTCTAGAAATCTGTTCATCCATACTCTTGAGGAGATCAGCATGGTCGATCTCCCCTTTTGTATGTTTTAGTTAGTCTGGAAAGCAGTTTTGATTTAAACAAGAACAGACATATCTTGAGAATATATACATAATCTCACCAGAGTTTATAAGATTTATTATATTGTCCATCTCTGATCTTGAAGAAATCTGCATGTGTGATCTATTACATATTTCTTCTAGTTCGGTCTGCTTCTTGAGAAATAGCTCTTTCATTTTGCTTGCTTTTAATTGATCCAGTCTCTTGACTTCAGCCTCAGCCTTGAAACAATTTAAATAACTGTGAATATATAGTTGTTCTTGTATGTGATGGTTTGAAATGTAGTTGATCATGTACGAACCTGTTGGATTATATCATGGGTAAGGCTTCCAGGATGAGATATTTCTGCTGATGAGGCTGATAATAAGTCAATAACATGGGAAAATAGTTTACGATCCTCATAGGGTGTGTCCATAAGATTCCACAAGTTTGTCAATGCTTTACCAAGATGTTGAAGCTGCAAAGTGTACAGAAAATTTATCAAAGGAATTTGTCATGATGGTCTCTATCTAACAATGAGCTTTATGTTAAAAGTAGATTAGAAAAACTAAATGCTTATGGAAAACAAAAATTAATTCATCTGTTATACTTTGATTTAAGCTTGTGTCATCATCCATATTTGTAGATAGGTGCCACTACCATTAGGTAGGAGAAGCCTATTAAACTAGAAAAGAGTGTAGTTTCAACTTCCTGTAATAGCATTTGTTCACAAAAAGGCCATCATAACACCCTTTGTACCTTCTCATGCCGCTTTTTCTTTTCTTCTTCCAGAGATTCCACAGTGCTGCTGAGCTTGGTCAAAATACCATCACTGATGTTTTTGGATATCCCACACAATTCATTCAAGCTTGGATGGACCTTTGTAATTATCATGGAGGATTCCATCCCCATGGTTGCAGACAAGCTGTGGATGGCTTCTATATATTTTTCCACTCTCTGGAGTCTGTTGTTCTTCAAAATCAATGAAATTACAAGATTGTTAGTTTGGATTAGCACTTTGCATGATTTCCTGAAAACAAGCATGGGGAGGTTGTTAATTGTACCTTCTCATTATAGAGTCCTTGTAGCTCAGTCTGGTATTCTTCAAGTTTCTTCAAGGAGAGGTCATTCTCATTCACTATCACATTTGTTATTGAGTCATCATACTCTGACTGACCTGCTATTTCTGCAGAAATCTTCTGCATTTGTCCTTGCACAGCTCGGAACTGGTTCACCCTCTCTTCTTTCCTCAATCGCATTTCCCGTAAAGCTGGTGTGATGGAATTTAGTTGCTCCTTTAGCGTTCCTGCCATTTTTTCTGGCTGCATGGACAGTAATTAGAACTGAGTCCTATAATAAGAGTTCACTTTCACAATGTGATGGAATTTAGTTGCTCCTTTTTAGTGACCTAATTTATAATGAAATGTATGTCTTCTTTGATCAAGTAATTGTTTCTTGATAATATCAAATAATGTGCAATATTCTTCAGAAAATATGTTTCTGAATAACTTCATAACTCAAACTTCATGTTTCATATCCTTGTTTGTGTACATAGTTTAATATTTATTTCTGGCTTCCTACTGTGCAGAGATTGATAACCAAGATACCCGTCCTGGAAGAGATCGTTCACCAAGGGACAAAAGAAGATGAGTAAATTCAGCTTCAGACTCTGCCAACTCCTGATGTAAGCGAGCCCTTGATATATTTGCACGGTCAACTTTTCTCCTGTATACCTCCAGACACTCCTGTTCTAGTTCTAGCAGAACTTTTTCTCTTTCAAACTGATTTTCTCCAACTTCATCCCAGATCATCTGTTTCATTATAAGAGAAGAAAGTGAGTAAAAAATGTCTGTCAATTATGTCAACTTATGAAAGGAAAAATAAAGAAATTATCATCTTGCCTGTAATTCTTGAAGTAAATATCCACATGAAGTTTCTAACAATGCAGAGCTTCTCATTCCAATAGGTGTTTGGAATGACCCCATTTTTTGTCTGCAGAATGTGGGAGCTTTGGCTTTGATACTTGGAAGTTGGAACTATTAGAACTACTAGAACTTGGGGTGCTTTGGCTAAGATACTTAGACCACTGGATGATAGAAGCTGTTTGTCTGAGTTCTATGGTAAGCAATCATAGTCAGGGAGAGGATGATTGGACAATGAGCTTTTGTGCTGTGAGTTTTTGCTTTAAAGACAAGGCTGCAGAGGTAGGTAATCTTTGAAACTTTGGGTTCAAGGATCATCCACTTCTATGAATTTTCAGGTTCTATCTTTCCCTCTATTATTTGAATTTAAAGGTCTTCTTTACAAACTGAAGTTAGTTTCTTTTTAAAGAAAGTCTGTCTTATTAACTTACTAATTCATGTCTTGTACTAACATTAGCAGATCTTATCATAGTTCGATTTTTAACTGAAACTTGATTCCTAAGCATTCTACCCCCAGGAATGGAATATTTCTCTGTCACACTTTAGGAGCAAAGTTGGGTGATGGACCATTGCACACGCTGGAGGATCTGAACCATCTGATGTAAAGCTCTCTCATAAACATGTTTCTCGACGAAATTTATCTGGTATGTTGAACAGCAAACCACACTTTTGAACTTTTCCTTTTCCCACCTACGCAATTTGTATCTCCTTTCTTTCTTTCTTTTTTTTTTTTTATTTTTTTTTATTTTTGTGTTAATGCAACTTAATTTACAACATAATCATGGGATTTAAGGAAGGAATAGATAGCGGGTCATTTTGAAGAAAACATTCCACCTTGTTTTCTACCTTTTCAAACACATTATCATTGAAAATAAGATGTCTCGTCATTGGCGGCTTATTTAAGGAGTTTAGGTGAGGAGAATGTGGATTAGTTGCCAATGGTAGTGTCAAGGCTGGCCACATCATCATGGCGTAGCCATAAAGGTGTAACTTGAACCAAATACCACTTCCTTTATGGTAGTTAAATGTGCTTGTCCCAGAAAAAGAGCACGAGAGAAAGAGCTAAGATCTATTGATTGTAGATCGACACCTAACCTAATGGGTTTTTTCCCTTTTTTTTTTTTTTTTTTTTCCTTTAATTTGAAAATCAAACAATAGGCAGTCTCACCTTACAGTAGGCACTAGGCAGTTTCAAAATAACATCTAATTTGTCGATGCCAGTTGTAAAAAGCATGCAGTTAGCACCACAAAATTTCTAAAATCTTCACAAGCTGAGACCGAGACCAGATACCTCTAAAGCAAATTTCTTTTTAAGCATTTCTGCTCTAAATTACATCTTCGGCTGGTCCTATGACTGCCCCCTCATATTAAACATGACAAAAGTTGACTAACCTATCAATCCTTATTAATCCACTAATTTAAAATGAATCATTTAAATAAAACTTATTTACTTGTGACTCATTTTAACTCAACTTATTTAATTTACGAGTCAAACAAATTAGTTCAATGGTCAGACAGGTTGATAAGTTAACTTGAAAGAAAAATTTACTTTAAAACAAAAGCCTAAAAACCTAAGATTAAAACACATAATTAAGATTTTATAATGAACTTAGAATTTATTATTTAAATTTTTTTTTTAACTTTAAGGATAAGGGATTTAAAACCCAACTTTTGGATTAACGT